TCAGCTCCCTTAATGGAATTATAGAAATTAAATATTCCACCGGGAGTCACCGCGAGTTTACGGAAGAGAAGTCGCCGTATAAGTAAGCGGATTCTCGCTTCCCTGGTGGATATGATAATGGTAGTGTGGCTCTTAGGGCCCATCCCGAAGACGGTTCGTACCCCTGTAATAGGGTGTGCCGTAGCATAAACCACTTGTAATGGGGGCTATTTTGCTGTCGTGGCGGCCAGTCTTAAAGTTTGACCACAGGGCTGAGGCTTGGGCGAGGGTGTTTGACTCTAATTACTGACGTCGTATTAATATCGTTTTTTACTGAAGAGTAGTTTTCGAATGAACATACGTTCTAGAAATATATAAAGCCTTTGCTTGAGTTATACAAATGAATACTTTAACATTTATGAAATATCTAAGGAAAGCTGTATAGTAAATGTAAATAAATATTCCATGGCATAAACGCAAATTGCGGCCTCCTGGCTGGACGATGTGGAACTGTAAACTTTACTGAAATTACAACTTGTCAGGAACTCTGTCATTCCATTTGTGGAGCAAATCTTGACAAAGGAACTAGATGCATCTAAACAACATTTTCGACATGTACTTCTTATTTTATTACTTACTTATGTATTACTTAATTTTTTATTTAGCTTGCTCTTAAAGTTTGACCGCATGGCTGAGGCTTGGGCGAGGGTGTTTGGCTCGAATTTACTTTCGTTTCATTTTTGTTTATTTACTTAGTTATTTTTGTTATTCTATTGTACATTTTCCTTTTACATTTCATAAGTTAGTCTTTAGGCTTGTTTTGTCCAAATTCTCTTTTTGAGGAAACTAGATGGGTTGATGACCCTTTGGCCGTTGAGTGGGTCAGAGTAGATCTTTAGTTTACTGCATGTGACTTTTTTCTGTTTGACACTCCGAGGACCTCGATGTGAAAGAGCCAACTGCTGGTCCTCGGTTTCTGTCCTTTTGGATGTCCGTGATTTCCTATGGAGCCTTCTTGCCAGTTGGGCTGCTTCATGGCAGCTCATCTGCTTCCCGTGTGGCTTCGGCTTGGGCAAGATTTAAATCTTATCTATTCCTTGGTTAACATTTTAAGCAAATAAATAAGTAAATGTTATGGAAACCAAAATAGTAATCTTGCAGCGATTGAAAAAGGTCAAGAGTTCAAAACATTTTGGGAGCAAGTTACTAAACATTTTAAGACTATAAAAACACGAAATAAATGTTTCATCTCTGAATATAATTTTTCTGAAATCAATATTTTTGCAGATATGCTAGTTATCAAAAGAAGCCATCACCCCGCCCTGCCTTAGCATCCGGGTCTACTATAATGACCGGCCGCAGCGACTTTATAGGGCACTGTGGCCCCCGCATTATAGCCCCCATTACGAGCGGCTCATGCGACGATTCGCCGTTTTACCGGGGTACGACCAGCCATCTTTGATGGGCTCTAAGAGCCACACCACCATTACTGTTCCCACCAGGGAAGCAAGAACCTGCTTACTTATATGACAGCTTTTCATCCGTGAACTAGAGGTGTCCCCCGGTGGAATAGATATGCTGGTTACATGCACCTTACAGCTTGAAGAGAAACATGTAACAAAAAGGGTTCCCTACTCTACGGTAAACATATGCTTTCTTTACTTTTAGGGAAAAAATTATTTTCTGTAAAAATAATTAACTGTCATTTACCAAGATTTTGTAAAGTTGAAAGCACAAAATGTAAAGTTTTACAAAAAATAATTAAAATTACTCAAAATAAAGCTAAAATCAATGCAAATAAGCCATAGCTTCTTTTAATAATCTATATTTTAATGATTTCTTATTAATCTTCTTTTAATAATATGAATTATTTTTAATAATTTGGTGTATATTTTTTGAGTAACTTTTGTTCCTATGGAACTATAATTCTTGAAACCTTCCCACGAAAAGTAGTAATATTTTAAAAATGAAAATGATCGGAAGTTCGAAATCTTTTTTTAAAATTTAGGATGTTCTGCAAGTCAAGAACAATTCCTTTTAATATAATTTTCTACATCTTTTAAAGGTACATTGAAACTTTCAGGCAATTAAGATTTTTATTTATTGTAAGAAAAGGTACATGGTTCTAATAGTTTGTTAAACTGTTAAATTCATCTTATCAGAAAATGATCATTACCTGTAATCAGTATCACTTATCAGTAATAGATATTCTTTCACGTCAGAATCCTTCTAATCAAGTTGTCTCTAGACAGAAAACTGAAGCATATAATGGGATAAATAACCAAAAATAAGTACTGAGATTGGCATCAACTTTTATTACATCTATACTTATAAAAGGCAATGTTTGTTTGCGTGCGTGTGTGTGCGTGCGTGTGCGTGCGTGTGTGTGTGCGATGTCCAGACGAATCTATCGCACTTACAGCTATGAAATTTGGCACACAGGTAGTCGCAATGGTGACTCAATGCACCTCGAAGCCGAAATTTTAAAATTTAATCTAGAAAATTTTTTATTTAATGTTTTGTGTTGTTTTGGTTGATTTTTCGCATTAATTTCTTAATAGAATGGTTTTGAATAATTGTACGCAAAAAATAGATAAACCATTAGAAAGAGCAGGCGATTTCCATTCTAATGAAGTTAGTTTCGAATTTCTAACGTAATTTACTGAATTTTGGGAATTTTTTTAAAAATAGTCACACTTTTCAAAAATAAAATTTTCTGAAATCCTTAAAACTCTTGCATCCGATGTTCTAATAAAGATATCATTTTGAAAATTTTTCAGCTTATAACGGCAACGGTTCTGTTGGATTGAAAACAAGAATGGTTAAAATATCTTTTTTCGTTTTTTCTAAATTAATTTTTTCCTGGTAGTTGAACGATATTTTTCCTCTAGGGAAGCTTCCGCCTGCGACAGCTCTCAGGAACGTTGCGGGAAATTTCATTGGCTGACGGGCCAGGGTGACGTCATTACTTTCGCGTTCTGCGAGAAGATGATTTATTTACTCGATGACTTCGATTATTATTTTTAAGCGTGTCTTAACTTATTTCTTTGCCTTTTATGCTTTGCTTGCGGTGTAATAAATATCAGATTGTAATTTTTTAACATTGTTTGGATTTAACGGTACTCGGTAGAGAAGAAAAAGAGGCGGACCAACTCAATAATACATATATTTCTGTTTTGATTTCGTTTTTAAAAGTTTCATTTATGTAATTTTGTGTGGGCTTTTTTTATTTTGTTGAAGTCCCGATTCCACGGGCAACGCCGTGCGCGTACTGCTAGTCAACCATAAATGTATTAACTGTTCTTTACTTTCAACCCAAAATGTATTTCTAATACATTTAAAAAATAAATATTAATAATTGCCATAAATTTATGTAAACAATTTGTCAGTAATTCATTTTCTAATGTTAGTATATAAATTGCAAAAAATATTTAATAATAGCGGAATTTATTCTGTACTCTAGATTATTTTAAGAAATATATTTGTTACAGTGACCGTTCGCACGTGCCTTAAACCGAATAATTCATTTCATATTATTGAAAATCATAACGTTTAATGCCAAATGATACTAAAAATTTGTAGCCGAAGGTAAAGACAGCACTTAAAATTGTAATCGACAACATATTCATTTCCTATCGCTTGAATTCTCTGAACTATGCGTTCTGAGTGCAGAGGAACATATGAAAGCAGTCTGAATGCATACACACCTGCATTACAATAATTGGGTTCTATTTTTAGCCTATTTGCTTCCGCGCTGTGCTGCTTGTTAATTCGAGTTTCGATCGGAAACGGAAATCCGATAAAAGTCGGCCATTTAGTTCCTCTCAGAAATTACACTTAACGCAATCTTCCCAACTGCAATAACTGACCCCTCATGATTGGAATGAAAATAATTTAACTTTTCCACTCTTTTAATTTTAATCAATTTGTGAATAATTATGACCATACATGGGAGAAAAGGTTATTGCAGGGAGAATTTAATATGTTTTTATTTCAGTTAAAAGGCATCTATTCCAGAAGATTCCAGAATGTCTGTTGTAAAAGGGATTTAATGAAATTGAAAATTCTTTTTAAGTTAAGCCCAATTAAGGTAAATGGCTAATAAATTTTAATTAAATTTCCTTCTTGGTTCAATTTTTTTCTCAGTTGTATTGAGCTCTGTGTTTCTTCCGTTAAGAATTTCAAGAATGGCCATTTGACCGATATGTTTTATGTAGAAAAAACTTTAAAAGAGTTAGACATTTAAATCATTCCAACATTTAAAAGTAATTAGCTTTCAAATGTTTGATGCTTTGTAGTTTGAAATGGCATGTATGTTTAAATTTGCCTTCAATTCTACAAGAAATTCTACAAGAGAAAAAAAGCTATTTTGCCAGAAAGACTGTATTTGCTCCATAAGCAGCGAATAACATCAAATCTCTTAAGGATCTCTTATGTTTCTATGACTTAAAAATGCTCTTAACATGATTAAAAACCCCATAAAATTATTCTCAGAACGATAATAATACTATACAACCCATTAAATTAAAATGATAAAAATTATTCATGGAAATTATTAATAAGTACAAACAAATTAGCATTAGTTTCCTTTGGGAATTATACTATTTTATACCATAAAATCTTTCGTCATTATAACTTATATATACCAATATTTTTCTTAAAATATCAAGTTTTCAAAAATTGTACGATCTTTAATTTTATTTATATTACATCAAAAAACATACAACGAATTTTCTTTCAATCGTCTTTATAAATAAGTCTCTAAATGTAGATTAAATGTAAATCAAAATGTCGAATTTTGTGATGACAATGTCACGCCATTAAAGGTTTAGTTTAGTTATATTAACGTCTTGTTTTGAAGCAACACGAGGGATACTTTTGGACGAACCTCACAATTTTGAACTTCTGTCAGATGACGAAGACGACACTTCTTGGCTGGCGCTCCCCTCTCTAAGCTTCCGTTCATTTGGCTCCCTACGTCTGATTTAATGTGAAACAGGCCCAATACACGACGGATCTTCAGTGGAATCGGGTTTTGAACCTGGAACCCTCCGGTCCTAAAACCGAGGCCTTACCACTAGGCCTCCTCGTCATTAACAGATGAAAGCAAGTTTACTGCTTATTATTTTTTTTAATTGGGAAACCATTTATGCAATTTTATTTTTAAAAAACTAAATTTTCTATGAAAGTAAAAATGGCACACGCTCAGTATGCTTTTTGTTTTGTTTTTTTTGCTATATCAGTGAATGGTTAAATAAAGTTGATTCTTCGTAACATGATAATGAGTTTATAACCTACTCATAATTCTGAACGAATGAGAAAGCTTAATTAATTTAGAGCGAGTACATGTTTATTAACACACATTATAATATTATAAAGTTTATCCAAATTGAATTAATGTTTAAACTGGAGACTTAAAGAATAAAATTAATGTGACACGAACAGTCCACTTTTCAGCCGCTTAAAGAATTTACCATTTAAACACATTCCTAAACTTTGAACTCGATGCATTTTAGAGAAAGGACAAATAACACACATTTTTTTCGATTTTTCATAATAGTCATATTATTTTATTTTTCATTTACTTAATATTTTCTTACATTCTATTTTATAGAGATGTCTATCAAAAATTTATTTATCTTACTTCAGTTTTCAAAAATGAAGACTACAGTCTTTTTTATGAATTGAAACTTTTTATTGGAATCTGTGTGTAAATCATCTAAAATTCTAACATCTAAATTCTAATTCATTTTCTGAAAATTCATAATTTTGGTTAATATTCAAACTAAAAATGATGCATTAAAGTATATCTTTCTTCTATGGTTAAAAATTTAGTAATAGTTTAATCGCAGCATCTTCCGTAACAAAATATTGCAAAAGCCGATTACTGTACCTCCCTTATCTCTTTGAACGCTTTCTTTTATTTGATCTCTTTTGAAACCCACGGGTTCTTCATTAGAATATAGTACTAAATCTTTATGAAATCTAAATATAGAGATGTAGATGAAATTATTGAGTGGAAAAAGTAATGTTCTTAATTCTTCTCTTTTTTGTTGTTGTTGTTGTTCTTCACTTAGTTGTAATGTAAAAAATTCCTTATGTCGACTCGATGTGAAAAATCAACTATTTTAATCTTTCTCTAAAATCCAAATTTTAAATTATTTAATTAATATATTCATTTTTTTGTGATAACCACATTTCGAAATTATATGAATTTCTTCGAATTCTTAGTTAAACCTTTTTCATTAGTTTCGTTGAGTAACTCTTCTACTACATTCCATATTACTGATATAATATAGCCCAGAGTCTCTCGGTAACGCTCTGACATCGTAGCACTGCGAGACCTTAAACAGCATTATTTCATCGTTAGAGAACCTAAATTTCAGTAATTTTAAATTTAAAAGCGTATTTGTCGTTCTAATTTCAAATTTAATAGCTCTAAAATAGTGAAATAAAATTTGCTATTCATTGATATAAAATTTATCTCGCTATGATCAATAGTTCCCGAGAAATTTAAAATTATATTAATCATATATTTCAAATTAATTTTCGTTTTTTAATAGAAAGTAGTAAATTATGTCAGTGGTATACCATGCGCGTGATATAAACGTGATGATATAATTTGATAATATTTAATGGGAACGTTTTGACAAGCAGAGAAGGGATTTGTTTTCATTAGACATCTGAAGTACGAGGAAAATTGTTAAACAACGAAAAATACTTCACACGGAATGTTGTTTACCAAGAGGTTTTTTGAATAAAGAAATATCTAAATAAAAAAAAATATTTCCTGTCATAAAACGTATGTTTGTTTTAATTGTTTTCAATGAATGTTAAACATGTCTCTCGCATATATATCTATTTAAACACGTCAAATTTGACGGAAAATCTCTCGAATGAAGAGGCAATTTGCACCCGTCGTACCATGACGGGTGATTTTCTAGTTCTAATATATTTGTGAAAGGTCATTTATTTTAATAATTATTTCTTGAAGTAAGACAATAATGCATTATTTTTGATAACGTAAGACGTTCAGGTTTCCAGAAATCTCAATCATTGACATGAATACTGGCTTATATGCGTTGAAATAAAATGATAAGTCACAAATGCTTGCGCATTTGGTTTGTATTTAGGTCACTTGCCCCTTTGTTTATTTGCTAGTATACAAGCAAATTTAGCAGTAAATACGTTCAAACTCGAGATTCTGATGAATATCCACTTTTCAGACCTCCTTGAGTCGGAAAACTCCGTTTTGGAAAATATGTCTGTTGGTCTATGAACACGATAACTCAAATAGAGAATGAGAAAATCGTAGTTTGAAAGAACCAGAAAAATTGAAACTTAAAAAGTCCTGGCAAAACTTGCACAAGAAAAATTTGGACTACCAACTGACCATATCTGGAAAGATGTATTTAATTGATGTAACGCCATAATGGATGTTCCAATTGAAGAAGGTACGCCTTTTGTGTTAGGTGTAAATGCCGACGTCGATGACTAAGAGAAACGTGATTTGAAAATTGAGGTCTCAACGAAGCGATTAAAAAGTAAAATAAAGTAAGGAGTTCAAACGGACACGACCTGTAACTTCATTTGACAGGAATATCCTGTCTGATAGTCGGACATAAACCAGATATTCCATTCGCAATAACAATATACAACAACGAAACAGAGTCAGATATTGCATTCACTTTTAATTGTGTGGAAGACTGACGCTATAAAATAAATAAAACTGAGTGGAATCGGAATATTTTATTGGCTGATGCCAGGAGTGTAATAACTAAAGGCTTCAAAGCTTTTTATGGACTTCCTTTCCGACGACTGATGTGCTATTTCCGTGTAGTAAAAAATATTGATGGCAAACTGCGTGGCATTAAAGACAAAGATGAAATAAGAAATGATACTGAATATCTTCATTAATGCCTCGATGACAATACCTTCAACATAGTATCGTATGTAGTGAATTATCTTTAAAGAAATGGAAGGAAAAAAATTATTATTTAGTAATCGCTGAACACGATAGCTCAAAAAGAGAATGAGCTAAACAGAATAAATTTTCTATGTTGTCTTTACACAAAAATTGTCGATTTCTATAATAGTATGGATGAAATCCGTCTACGAGGTGTCTGTCTGTCTGACTAACCGTGATCATGTGAACACGGTAACTCAAAACCGCAAGAGCTAGAGGATTAAAATTTTGAACATTTTTTGTATCAGTACTATTGCAGATATGTATCAAAGTTTAGACAAAATGCGCCTAAGGGTTTACTGTCCGTCGGTCTGTATTTTCGCGTTTATGTGAACGCGATAACTCAGAAACGCAGTCACCTAGATAAATAAAATTCGGTATGTAGTCTTTACACTATAATTGGAGATCTGTGTCAAATTCCGGATAAAATCTGTCGAAAGGGAAATATTCAAAATGCACACTCGGTTTTCTTCACTATACAAGGTGGTCATAAATTATTGGACCCATTTCAAAAATTAATTTTAAAAAATCTAATAATGTTACAACTTCAGGGGGGTTTTTTCTTAAGGAGAGAGCAAATAGAAAAGTTTTTTCAAATAGGTGGCGTACCATTAAGGCGTTCTAAATTTGCTACAACGAGAAATTTCCAAACGCACTGGCTACCGATCAACAGAAGCCAATGCTCATCTTCTGGTTTCATTTTCTAATTGTTCTTGAATATCTCGAAAACTATTCAGTTTTCGAATTATAATTGATTTAACAAATTAAAGAGCATAACATTCCCTGCAAATGCACGCTTTTATTTTTCTTCTAGCTTTAATAGTTTCGCAGATAATAACTCTCAAAAATGGGAGAAGTCCACTAATTTGCTACCACCTAGACTACCGTAACGGCGATTTATCTATCTGAAAAAAAACTTTTTAAAATCCGCTCTCATTTTTAAAAAAAAACGTATTTTTAATATTATTAGTTTTTTTCATTAATTTTTGAAATGGGACCAATAATTTATGACCACCCTGCATTACATAGCGCAAAACGCGCCATATTGTTTCAGAATATGAGAATCTAGGGAAGAACATCCCCGCTATTTTGTCCTGAAAAAGAAACCGAAAGATACATACTTCTAGTATCTTTCAATATTTCCGATAAATTTATATTCTTATGCTAGGGGCGTCCTTTTCAAAGAACTCTTCTGATCGACGATATACTACCAGAATGAAATTTGATATCCATAAATTCAACAGTCACTTGATAATTCTTGGGAAAATCATATTTCCTAGAGAATTTCTTCGGTGGTAATGGAATCTCTAGATTCTAAAAATGTATTGAATGTATGCCAGATGTCATTGTCACCCTTTATAAATTCAATATTTTGTATTCCTCCTATCCACAAAACAAACAAACACTAAGGATAAAAAAAAATATCACTCGTTGTTATGTGAGGTCCTGTCGATCTCAAACACAAAAGCTAGGAAATTCTTTTTCAGAAAATGTACAAAAATAGATCACGAAACGTATCTCATTTTTTATTTATACTGAGGCACTAGAATTCATCCAGTTTTTTTATAAAGAATGGATCGTGACTTCTTTGCCTTTGTCTGTACATCTATATCAAAGAATCTCGCACAAAATAAAAATGCACTTCAGATTTGAAATTTGTTAAACTGGATGAACATCACTATCGTTTAAAATTTATTATTTTTGAATACTTTACAATATTTAGACGATATCGTAGAAATATTTTAAGGCATCTTGTGATATTTGGGTAGTTACTGGAAGGAGTCCGCCATTGGAAACTCTTTGTTTTCGAAAACATTTCCCGTAAAGCTGAACGTTCGTAGTTGGTTCTAATGCAATGAGGTTTGGTTGTATTTAAATTTATCAAATAGAATTTTAGATAAGTCAAATTGCAAAGTGATTAGAAATGGAAATGATAGTGATTGAAATATAACGAATAAATGACTTAAAATACAAATTTTTAATCTCAGAAACTGTTATGCGATTGACTTCTGTACCTGCTTTATATTATTATTTACGAATTTATATTTGTATAAATAAATTTTAACCGAGTTTAATCAAATGTTTCTCTTCCTTTTTGTATTTAATTTATTGAGCAATTTTCA